GCCGCCCTATCCACCGTGCGCCCCCGGCCACCCTTTTCCGGGAGTCGAAATTTCCCGGGGATTATGTTTTGGAAAGGGAGGTAAGCCCCGGGCGCGGCGCCCGCTTCCTCGCAGCCGGGACCCAGAGAGCCAGCGAGACGGAGGCAGCCGGGGCAGCGAGCAGCGGAGCGGACGGCTGGTCCCTTTCTCCTCTGGAGGTGCTGCCGGTGGGAGAGGGGGTGGGGGGGAGAGACTTGCGCCAAACGCGGACTTCCCACAGCTCTCCCCCCCTCCCTGCTTTCCGTTAGGAACCCGGCGAGGAAATACATGCACTGGCTGAGAATCGCCCGCGCCAGGGCGCAACACGACAAGGTGTAGGGACCGTGTGGGGTGGGGCCAGAGGGGACCCAGGAGTCCCTGGTGCCTGGGAGCTTCGGGGCTCTTAGTTCTTCATTCCTGCCCTCGGGGGCGGACGGAGTGACCCGGGCCGCACCCCCTGCCCCGACCATGGTAGTGTTCAATGGCCTGCTGAAAATTAAAATCTGCGAGGCCGTGAGCTTGAAGCCCACAGCCTGGTCGCTGCGCCATGCGGTGGGACCCCGGCCGCAGACTTTCCTGCTGGACCCCTACATCGCCCTTAATGTGGACGACTCGCGCATCGGGCAAACGGCCACCAAGCAGAAGACCAACAGCCCGGCCTGGCACGACGAGTTCGTCACCGACGTGTGCAATGGGCGCAAGATCGAGCTGGCCGTCTTCCACGATGCCCCCATCGGCTACGACGACTTCGTGGCCAACTGCACCATCCAGTTCGAGGAGCTGCTGCAGAATGGGAGTCGCCACTTTGAGGACTGGGTGAGTCGGGGCGCTTGGCGGCCGGGGGGTCCAGCCATGGGTTCTGGGGAGAATTGCTGGCCTTGGCATTGGTCTTGGGGTGCGGGGTGGGCGGTGCAGAATTTCATGCTGCCTGGGTTGTGTGTGTTTAAGTCTCAGCTTTCTTGGTGGGCCACAGGCTACCTGGCAGTTGAGAAGTAGGAATTGGGGCAAGAAAGACAGACTCGAAAAGAGGACACTGCCCTTTTAGCCCCTCCAGCGGGCGCGGTGCTGCAGGGGGTTCTTAAGGTGCAAGAGCTCTGGACCATCGGTACTGGTACTTGGTTGAGGACCACCCCCACCCCCCACCCTGCGCGTAGGCGCGCTTTAGGCTGGCGCTGTGTGATTGCGTGTGGGTGGGTCCTTCTGTCCTTGGAGAGGCACGTGGAGTCTTAGACTGATGGCTTCTGGCACGTCCTGGCTTTGTCCTGCTAAGCGGAGTGAGGAGTTGTTTTATTTTCCTCTCCTGAAGGAAGCTTGTTGGTTTCTATTCCATTGCCTGGCGCTTCGCTTTTCCAACAGACCGGGAGAAAAAAATGTGTTGACCAGGATGACCCCCTAGGGTCCCAGAAACATCAGTGGAGCTTGCTTTATCCACGTAATTTCTCATCCATCTAGAATGAATATTGTTGTATTTTAAAAACATTCCACTTTGGTAGTTGGAAGTCCATAGCTTGAATCCTGTTTAAAGTTACATTGTTGCCTTATGTTGAGTTCAAGGCCCTGGGCAATGAGATACTACTTCTGAGACTGAGCCTGAGTAAATTGATTACATTGTCAAAATATTCGGGGGGTCAGAAGAAGGTTTTGTGAAATCCCTGTCAGCCAACCTTGGCATGCTGGAGAAGGGGGTGGGGGTGGGGGGAAACAAGCTATGTGAATTCTTCTTGGAGTGAAGGCATTGCATTTGGAATTAGATTTTGGTTATTCCCAGGTGTGTTACCTGTTTCTGTGAAGAGCAGAGGAGGCTTCCAGTGTATATGTTTTCAGGGTCCTTTGGCTTCTACTTGGAGATGTTGGAGCCTCATGGGGAGATGAAGAGGGGTCACCTGCTTCATGAAAACCAGCCTCCTCCATCTTCTGGGAGGGGTGGGGGAGGCTCCTGGGCTGCTTTTGAATCACCTTGGCATATGACCTTAACACTTTTTCCCAAGGAGATAATATGGGGGAAAATATGAAAAGGCTGTTCTGTTGATGCTCATACATGTGCTGTATGTAGACTGCCTGTGTCGATGCATCTCATCGAAGGCTGCGCTTCACCGGGAAGCCATCTGGCTAAGAGAAACCTGCCTTGCACTCTGGAAGCCTTTATGGAATCCCAAAGAATCCAATACCATTCCCTTCCATTTCTGTGTCCCTCCCTCCTCCCTCCGCCCAGGGTCCCTACACTTCGCCCATTTCCTTTTTACACATGGCCTCAGTCCTTGACTCATATCAGATGGGGGAGCTGAAGAGACAACTAATTTCAGAGCAAGACCCTAAAATAAAAAGCTGTAATCTTGAACCATTACTTTTTATAGAGGAAGCAGCGAAAGAAAAGTCTGTGGTTTCTGTAGTGAGGAATGAATGGAGGCGTTGCTGCATTTGCAGCTGCTGGGGTTTGGGGAGCAGGCTGGAGGCAGAGAGGATGAACTCAGGTCTGCTTTTGGTCTGGGCTGGAGGGAAAGGCTTCATCCCAACCCTTGGGTGGATCAGTGTGCTTTAGGCACTACAGGCTTGATTGCCATCCTCTAAGGTGCTGAAATTCATCTTGAATTTGGTCCTAGGCCATTAATCCACAGGTAAGTTTAGGAGGCAAAGAAATCGAATCTCAGAGAAGCTAAGTGGGTATGCATGGTCACATGACCAGTAAAGGGAGGCTGAAGTAGGGCACCTACCCCATATTCTCCTGCCTGCCTGGAGGGGAGCAGAACACTTGGTCCCACCGCTCTATTCCTGTGATAGATTTAGATGCTTGCTATTTCCATGTTTTCAAAATCACTCTCTCTTTTGTCTTATCTGAAACCCAAACCCAAACTAAGGGCAGAAACCCACTACCATAGAGTTGATTCTGACTCAAAGAGACCCTCAGTAGGGTTTCAAGGATGTAAATCTATCGGAGCAGACAGCTTCATCTTTCTCCCCCAGAGCATCTGGTGGATTTGAACCACCAATCTTGCAATTAAGCAGTCTAATGTTCCCCCAACAGCTCTACCAGGCCTCCTTATCACTCACTGACATTGAGTAATTCTGATTCACAATGACCGTATAGAACATGATAGAACTGGCCCTAGTGAGTTTCTCCCACGGAGCAGTGAGTGGATCCAAACTGCCAGCCTTTTGATTAGCACCCGAACAAGTAACCCACTACACCACCAGGACCTTGGGGCTCTTTATGCTGCTGCTGCTGCTGCTGTTAGGGGCTTTGGAGTAATTTCTGACTCAGATTGACGATAGGTACAAACAGAACGAAACCCTGCCTGCTCGGGTGCCAGCCTCACAATAGTTCTTATGTTTGAGTCCACCTTTGCAGCCCCTGTGTCGATGCATCTCATCGAAGGCATTCCTCTTTTTCGCTGCCCCTCTACTCTACCAGCCAGGACTGGTTTCTCCTGACCACATGTCCAAAGTATGAGAGCCAAAGTGATAAATTTGGTATGACAGACTGAAAATCTTGAGATAAAGAAGCCTGAAGTCACAAGATCAATCAAATAGTGGAGCTGGTTCTGACCACTCATCCAATATTCTTTTCACGAGAGCAGGGATAGGGAACTTCAAGGCCGGAGAAACCATTAGCACCAGCTAACGTCACACACCTCACCCAAGAGAAGCAGTTCTAGCTATCATGCTAGGGGTGAGTTAACTAATTGTTTGACCAAATATAGCAGGCTTATTTTGAAGCTGATGATTTTATATGGCCCACGAATGATGGTATAAATATCCAAATGGCCCTTGGCAGTAAAAAGGTGCCCCCCCCCATTCTAGATGCTGTGGCTAAAGTAACACCTCAAGACTGAAGAGAGGGGTATACCTGCAGAGGGGACTGGCCCATGGAGGTTCATCTGAATTGTCTAAGGTTGCTTTTCATCAGCCGAGGTATACCTCAGAATCATGCATCTGGGTAACTTCTGTGCCCACCCCTGGCTGTGGTCAAGCTACAGCCTTTCCAAGTGTGGTTGAGCGCTCAGAGATGGGAGGGCATGACACTGCGGCTCACCCCTTTGCTTTGGAATGTTTAATCCAACTCCATGCTGGGTGCACGCTGCTTCCTGTTCTGTCCTCAGCGCCAAGCAGGGAGGCTTAGCAGCAGTAGGTAGCCACGGGGCTAGGAGGCCACATGTTACTCTCAGTGGGCTTCCATTTCTCCAGGAGACATCGCTAAGCAGATCCATGTGAACACTTAAGCAGTTTCCCAGGGAGTGGTCCCATCAGTGTGTGAAAAGCGCTCTGGAAGGGAGTAGGCTAGGAGAGTGGGAAGACTCCAGGAGGAACCCAGGGAGGAGGCAGCACTGACTGGGACTGAAATGCTGGCTAGCGTTTACTAGGGGTAGTGAGTGATGAGGAGCCGTGGTGATATGGGCTATCCATTGGGCTGCTAACTGTGAGGTCGGGGATTCGAAACCACCAGAGAAAGACAAGGCTTTCTACTCCCCTAAGGAGTTACAGCTTCGGAAACCCACAGGGGCAGTCTGACTGTCCTATAGGGTAACCGTGAGTCGGAATCCACCGAATGGCAATGACACTTTCTTTTGATATCTAGAAGGGGAGATAGTGTTCTAGGCAGGGACATGCCCAGAGCCAAGGAAGGAACAGTCTGAGGCTAGGCTGGAGACTGGATGATCATCACTGAAATGGAAGGCACTTCTCAGAAAGGACGAGGACAGGGTTTCCCAAATGTTAAGTCTCCGCTGTGTTGGAGTTTTATCTGAGTACCACCTGTCTTGTTGTTTACTTTTCTTAAGCTCTCAATCAAAAACCAAGACCCCGAACTCACTACCCTCTTGACTCCCCTCAACTTACTGCCATCGAGTCAAAGCGACTCACAGCGACACCCCCTCCTCCATGCCCCCGGTGGGTTTCACAGACTGAAACTGTTGATGGGAGCAGAAAGCCTCATCTTTCTCTGGCATCGGACTCAGGGCCACCTTAGGAGACAAAGTGCAACTGTCCCCATGGGTTTCCAAGGCTGTCAATCTTTCTGGGATCAGAAAGCCTTCTTTTTCTCTGGGAATGGCGTCTGGGAGGTTCAGCTAACATCACAGTTAGCCTCCCAGAATGTACGGAACCAACTACGTCAACCAGGATCTCTCAGTCTCGGGATTCATGAAAGCATGGGTCGGGGAGTCGGGCTCCACGTTTCCTTCGTTCACATTCCATTAAGCTTGCAGCGGCTGAAGAAGGAAAGTTCAGCGCAGGTGCCTCTCATCTGTGACACTTGGGAAACACCGGAGCCGGAGATCGTTAGCAAAAAACCGAGCGAGATGATAGAATGTTCCAAGGCTGTTTTGAGGTCATTGATCTCCAGATAATGTGAGGCAGTGTGGTGGAGATGACAAAGGGACTTGCTTTAGAGAAAACTCATTACAGAGCAAAGAGATTTTCACTCGCTTTTGAAGCCCAGTACCATTGAACAACATTGCCGTTTTGAGGGTTTCTAAGAAGGGGGTGGGGGGGAAGGGCCCCTCTGACTTGGGTGTGCAGCAGGAAGACTAGGTGAGGGGGTTCAGCGTCTCAACCCGAGGGTCCTGCCTACAGAGCTTTTGATTCCGTGGTTTGGGGTGAGTGCATCTTCCGAACAAGCTGTCATGATTCTGACCAGACCGTGCCTTGAGCACCGCCGGGCTGCCATAGAAACCGTGGCCTGGGAGGGCCTTAGATAATGCACGTCTCCAGCTTGAGCGCACAGGCTGTTCGGATATTTTATTGTACGTACTTACTGTGGCCCTTTCTAAGTCTGAAAGTAAGCTTTATGAACATCGTCGTGTGACACAGAGGTGTTGGGA